ACAATAAGATGGCAAAATTTCAAGTCGATATGTCAAAGGGTTCCGGAGATATATCGATTTATGATTAACACAGAGTACAGACAGACAGACAGACAGACCACACACAAAAACCAAAGTTGCTCAAAATTCGATGGGGATCATTTTCTCCAAAGCAACTATACCTCTATCTCGCTTAGTTTCCGAGATAGCATTTTTGGCACGGCCGTAGTATACTCCACTATATAGGTATAGCGTCGTATAACAAGTGAGGTACGTAGTTTTTGAAAGGTATCAGATTAGTATAAAGGTCAGATAATTTATACGACGTTATAAAAGCAGATGATATTTTATCATTGCTCATGTAAGATGGAAGTTGAGACCATAGCACCATATCATGAGCATATTTTTATATTGAAACTATCATTGGGCACCAATGATGTGTATACGACGCTATGAAAGTTCAGAGAACTGGAGATTTTTCGTAAAAACTACGTACTTAGCCCGTACCTAGTTTATTGGCAAAAATAAAGACAGTAGAGGTAGCTATTTACGTAGTTTATGGGAAAAAAAATTCAAGACAGTCGAGTGTGCCTTTTTGACTTTCTTTTTTTTTTGTTTCGTATTCTATTGGCAAGTGATTATCTGGGAACTTGTGAATTTTTTAGTTTTTTCATCGTATCTTCCGAACTATTGAATTCAGAGAAAAATGTTATAGGGATTTTTTGTAGATTCTATCAAAAGGAATAATTTTGGTTTCATAACATTTTCAGATATTTTCAGTTGTTTTCGAGATATTTGGAATTATCTGAGAATACAATTTTCAACACTTTTGTTCCATCTTCCAATCAACAAAATGAAAAAATATTTCATGGTTCAGTGGAAGTCGATGAGCTTCATCTATCGATAATCTTTTGTTTTTCAATATATCTTCATGGTACCCTATGGGTCGTTCAAATTTTTTTTTCTAATTTTTCACTTCATTTCCTGTACTATTGGGCTTACAGAAAAAATTTTGAATAATAATTTGTAGGAAATGTTCCAGTGGATAACTTTGCACTTCTGATAATTTTCGATTTTTCCATTTGTTTTCGATATATATTGAATTGAAAGGATTTCAAATTTTGATGTTTTGATTTTCATTTGTTTTTCCATTTTCTGATGGATGCACGACAAAATGGTTGGATAATAATTTGTTCCGTCATCAAAGAGGTATACGGTGCATTTTTCAAATTTGGATTTAGTCTATTGGTTCAGGAGATATGTCGTTTTGAAGCGAACCGTGTTTTTCGGAAAATCTCCTTGAAAAACCCACTTGGAATTTTTCGACCCTGCTCAATTTCAATAGGGTTCGTCTCTTCCTGATAGAGTTATTTTTCACAAAAAATGAAATCGATTGGACCACTTTTGCGATTTGTAGAGTGGTTACAAGAAACTTCCGTTGAAAAATCGAAAAAACCCGGAAAAACCACCTTAGAGTTTTCCGATTTCCTTCATATTTCAATGACATAATATTGTTTTGAGTACAATAAGATGGCAAAATTTCAAGTCGATATGTCGAAGGGTTCCGGAGATATATCGATTTATGATTAACACAGAGTACAGACAGACAGACAGACAGACCACACACAAAAACCAAAGTTGCTCAAAATTCGATGGGGATCATTTTCTCCAAAGTAACTATACCTCTATCTCGCTTAGTTTCCGAGATAGCATTTTTGGCAAGGCCGTAGTATACTCCACTATGTATAGCGTCGTATAACAAGTGAGGTACGTAGTTTTCATTAGGTATTAGATTAGTATAGAGGTCAGATAATTTATACGACGCTATAAAAGCAGATGATATTTTATCATTGCTCATGTAAGATGGAAGTAGAGGCCATGACACCATATCATAAGCATATTTTTATATTGAAACTATCATTGGGCACCAAAGATGTATATACGACGCTATAAAAGTTCAGAGAACTGGAGATTTCTCCCACAAACTACGCACTTAGTCCACTCGACTGTCTTGGTTTTTCCAGACGGTCGAGTGAGCTAGGTACGTAGTTTATGAGAGAAAAATCAAGACAGTCGAGTGTGCTTTTTTTACTTCCTTTTGTTTTTTGTTTTGTTTTCTATTGGCAAGTGATTAGGAACTTGTTAATTTTTTAGTTTTTCCATCGTATCTCCCGAACTATTGAATTCAGAGAAAAATGTTATCAGGATTTTTTGTAGATTCTATCAAAAGGCATAATTTTGGTTTCATAACATTTTCAGATATTTCCAGTTGTTTTCGAGATATTTGGAATTATCTGAGAATAAAATTTTCAACACTTTTGTTCCATCTTCCAATTAACGAAAATAAAAAATATTTCGTGGTTCAGTTGATGTCGATGGGATTCCTCTATCGATAATCTTTGTTTTTCAATATATCTTCATGGTACCCTATTGGTCGTTCAATTTTTTTTTTCCATATTTTCCACTTTATTTCCTGTACTATAAGGTTCACAGAAAAAATTATGGGTAATAATTTGTAGAAAATGTTACAGTGAATAACTTTGCACCCCTGATAATTTTCGATTCTTCCATTTGTTTTCGATATATATTGTATGTCAAAGGGTTCCGGAGATATATCGATTTATGATTAACACAGAGTACAGACAGACAGACAGACAGACCACACACAAAAACCAAAGTTGCTCAAAATTCGATGGGGATCATTTTCTCCAAAGCAACTATACCTCTATCTCGCTTAGTTTCCGAGATAGCATTTTTGGCACGGCCGTAGTATACTCCACTATGTATAGCGTCGTATAACAAGCAAAAATAGAGAGTATGCAAGAGGAACTCAACTCGATCCAAGAGAATAACCCTTGGCAAGGAGTATGGGGACTCCTAGGTGTAAATAGGATGATCCATGGTGACATCGACCTCAAGAGGGATGATGGCACATTTACAAACAACGAGGATGAAAGAAACACTGAACTACTGAGGAAATACTTCCCAGCTGATATTGACGGATTGGACAATGTGGAACAAATCGACTGAAGCAGGCGAAATGTGTCGATTAAAATAAACAATATGGAATTTAGGGAAGCCCTAGCGGAATTTGAAACCGGAGAAGAGTGTGCAGAGGACGGAATACTGGTGGAAGCGCTCAAAATAATAGTGAATCTGTTCAATCATTGCCTGGCACTAGGGATATTCCCAGAGGTATGGAAAACTCCTGGACAAATTTGTAAATGAAAGACTCCAGTACCATATGGAGAAAGGAGGACACTGGTAAGAAAGCCAATACGGCTTCCGCATAGGCAGAAGCACGACCGGGGCGGTGGATAGGCTGCTCAACAATATCAGTGATGTAAAAAAAAGGAAATCACTTCCTTGTTGTAGCGCTAGACCGGAAAAATGCGTTCAACATGGCATGGGAGGTATCCACCAGCAATGAAATGAGGAGTGCTGAGGTCCCAAGAGAAATAGGCCGCGTCTGCAAGGACTCTCTCAAACAGAACAATCAAGTCAGGTAAAAAAAGCAGAAAGACAAATAGGGGATGTCCACAGGGGTCCAGCTTAGGACCCACATTGTGGATCACACTGATGGAAGGGTGGTTTGAGAGAATGAAGGCAATGAATGAAAGGGAGGATGGAAGAATTGACATTGACAGAATGAGAGAGGACAGAATAGTAGGAGTGACTGCTGAGTGTCAGGCTTTCGCAGATGACCAGATACTAGTTATCACAGGCAAATCATCCAGAGAAGTTGGGAGGAAGTAGTCCCTAGCCTGGGAGACAATAAGTTGATTGACAATCATGAAAAAAACAGAAGCCATGTTCATAGAAGCAGACAGGAACATAAGACAGCCAATGATGAAAATAATGGACAATGATGTCAAAGTTCCAATCTGCAGGAATATCAAGTATTTGGGCATCATGCTAAACACTAAGTTTTTGTTCCTAGAACAGGTAAATATGGTGAGGAAAAGAGTTGGCGAGATATCCACGAAATTGATGGGCATGGCCTCAAGGAAATAGGGGCTAGACAAAGATTTGATTGAATCTATATATACTAGAGTCGTCAGAGTATCTATATTATATGTTGTCGAAATATGGGGAGGCAAATCACAAGACTCTAGGATTAATGAGCAATTACAAGATATACAAAGGCCTTTCTTATTGAGAATGTGCAGACGTTATCGCAGAACTCCAACAGAAACCCTACGGGTGTTAGCAGGAGTAGCCCCCATAAAATTGGAGGCCATGGATTTGGGGAATGAATGGGATATGAGAATGGGAGAGAGGACAAAGAAGTTGAACGAAATCTGAGAGTATGGCGACACCCAGGAACAGTAAACGAGGCGAGAATGAATGGTGAATATACGGAAATATGGGTGGATGGTTGCGTGAAAGTGAATGGAAGCAAGGAGAGGTATGAATGGTTAACGACGCGTGAAAGTATAGATGGAATTACCAAGTCAGTGGATATTGAAATCATAGCTATAAACACGGCCATAAGGTTGGCAAGGAACAGAGATATCCAAAAAGCAATCATTGAATCTGACTGCCAAGTAGCGGTAAATCATGTCAATAGCTGGAAAACAAAACATTACCATGCCATGAGAGTCAGACAAAAGATCGATATAATGACTCGAAATAGCCAAAGAGACTTGTGAGATGAAGAAAAGGTCATAACGCCAACAACATAGAAAATAATGAAACACTCGAGGAAGCCAACCTTGGTGCAGAAAGACGAGTAGAAACGCCCAGGATGACTGGAGAAAAGTCAAATAGAGACATAAAAGAAGAAAAAAGGGCAAGGATCAGGCACGAATGGCAAAATGAATGAAATGGGAACGATAAAGGGAGAGAACTATTCGAACATTGTGCGATAGTTGGTGAGGAATCGATTAAACTTACGTTCCAGGCGACTCAGATGATAACAGGTCATGGTAACATGAAGGGGTATCTGAGCCGTTTCGGACTAACGGAAATGGGATGGAATGTGTGAATGTGGGACAGGAATAGAAAATGCTGAGCACATAATGCTCAACTGTGAACTAGAAACAAGGGTGGAAGCGAGAGAAATGATAAGAGAAAATCATGGAGGCCTGTCGATAATACTCAGATCGAATAACAGCATGAATGAAAACGCGGTGAGAACGGCTATCGTGTGGGCCGAAGTAGCAATAGCAACCAAATCGGACGATTGAGATGGTGGCAACCAAGAGTAGGTCAGACATGCACCAAAGACAAGAGAGTAGTCAAATCAGATCAACTATGGCGAAGTAGCACAGCTATTAATTGAGGGATTAATTGTTGTAACTAACATAGCTTTCAATTACTATTGCTTTTGCTTTCCAAATTTCTCTTATGTTCATCTAATTATGCTTTTCGTTTGTTAATATTGAACTAGTACAATGGAGTATGCTGAACGCATGGCTCAAGGCTTTGCTGATCATGTTTAATTTCCTTATCTTATTTTATTTCATTTTATTTTTATTTGCTTATGCTCTTGCATGTCTGTTATGTTTGTAATCAGTTTTTTTTATTTAGAATATGCTCTATATAACTACATGTAAGGAAACAATATTAAAGATAACTGCACCCCTGCTAGTTTTTGAGCATGGGGATGAGATGGGTTTGTTTGGCAGCGGATGAGGTAGATAGAGGATAGAGAGAAATATTAAACCGAAAGGTAGGCATGTTACAAGCAGGTAGTGATTTTTGTTATAATAGGATGCCCTTTCAAAAATTCTTTATACCAGTGCTTTCCTGGTCGGTTATCAGTGGAGGGGGTTTCTCTTTTGCGATTTTCCACCAGCATCTGGACGCTGTCCAGTAAATGTTCCTTGGAAACTGAAAAACTATCATCCCCCGAATGTAAAATCCATCTCACTAGATTATTCTCCTCATCCTAGCGGGGTTTTCTCCTTACATTCATCTGATAATGTCATCCGCAGACTTTGAACTTGGCAGCACCTGGGATGCTCATTCCGCTGTTTTTTACAGCTCTTATGGCATTTTCATATCGTCTTCTGGATGTTTTTTCCGATCCAATAATCATGGATGTGTAAAGTGAAAAGCAAATCGTTTCTTATATCGGGTTGATTCTCTGAGGTGGCTCATCCCTGTATGATTTTCTCATTCTGGACTGGACCGGACTGGATAGGAAAACTAAATTTGGTGGTAATTGTGTTTTATAGTTGAACTCACAATTTTTAACATACAGAGTGTTGATTAATTTAGTGTCGATATAACAAGATGTGAATCCTCGGATGATTTTAAGGAGAACATTTTATATCAACATATTTTCTAAACCTCTTAGCTTTTGAGCTACAGGGTCCCCAAATTCCAAGAAGTTTTTTACCATAATTTTTCATCACATATTTTTATGAAATGTGGAACAAACCTTCTCCTCATCAAAGAGCGTTTTCTGACATGGAATAATCTTGAAAATGTTCACCAGTGACATACGTTCGGAGTTTGAACTGAAAATTAATAAAAAAACAATCGATTCCACCTAACAAAATCATTTCTGATATCCCAAAAACCAAGAACTTTGTTCTCTTCAGTTCATTGAGATTGTTAGTAGGCACTCACTATGAGTGGAAAAATATTTTGTTTTGGAACGATAGTCAATTTTGTACTTTCAGCAGGAGGCTTGATATTGAATGTTTCAATTTAAAAAATAACTGTACGCCTCTGATTTCCATACCCTGAAGCTCAAAATCTGAGAGCATTGGGGCATATGTTGATATGAACTTTTCTACTTGAAATCACCCAGGGATTCACACCTTGTATTATCGGCACTCAATTAATTAACACCCTATATACCTTTTTTGACCAGAAATGACCCCAACCCTCGATTAATGACTGTAACATCCTATATATATTTTCATTTCGATCGAGAATGATATTGTAAATCCAACAACACCTCAGTTGTCATTAGTTGACAAATCATGATTATTCCTATTTTCATTTCTTGATCTGAAATGCCATGGACTATGATGTAGATCGCTTTATTATTCATCAAGTGACATGAAAAAATGTGACTTTGAGGCTCATAAGTTAACAGTCGGTTTGAGAATTATTTAATGTCGCAAATTTGCATTTCTTTAGTTAACTTGATTTTTTCAAATGAAAGAAGGTGGCCCGTGTGCTTTTTGTTGAAGATGATTTCCTTCCGAATGACTTATTATAGATCGAGAAGAATGTCAAAGAATGTGAATTGAACTATAATACGCAACCGCCAAATTCCGTGTATCTATCTTCAAAATTGAAATATTCATAGGGGCGTGCCTCCTTGGAAAATCACTCATTATAGTCAGGCAGATTACATAAAAACCACATTTTCTTGAAATACCTTATTCATCATCCAGTTTTAACGTATGTAGTTGTGTTACCATTCAGGCGGATTCGTTATGATTATTCCTAACTTGATATGGAATTATATAGCTATAGGTTGTTAAATTTCCACATAGTCTGTTAACCAAAATCTGCACTTGTTGATGTTTGATGAAATACTAGATTTCAAAAAATTTCCGACCCTGAAGTTATGTTAACTGATTCCCGAGCTGATCCCTATGTATAGCAATAATGTCATTTTCAACTACGTCATGTCATTTTGTTGTAGATTTTCATCCCAGAATATTAAAAAAGATTTGGGATTCCGTTTGCTCTGAAGAATAATGAAGAGAAGAATCATTAAGACATACATTCCACGTATCGCTTACTCTGTTATTTTTGAAATATACAGGGTAGCACAAATATTAGAAAAATTCATGAATAAATGCACTTTGAACTCGACAGGCGATGAATGGAAATATAAATGAAAATTCGAAGGAAAGTGAGGAACTGAAAACATAATATAAAATTGCAATTGTCAATCGATGAATCTTTGAACAGATTTTATATCTGATGAATGGTCTATGGCAAAGTATTCACAAGAACTTAAAACCTCCAGAAAGTGAAAAAAACCTTACCTACGTTTTTCCCTATTTCTACCCTTTTTCGAACGCAGTAACTTTCTGTGACCAATCACCTTATGTGTCCTCACCACTTATTATTCAAAATAGCACTTATATATTCATTCATGAAAACTAGAATAGAAAATCTCAATAGTATATTGTTCAACGAGCACGGAATGATAGTGATTTCCTACGAGAATGAAGTTTGCAGCATGAGCCATAGGCGAATGCTGCAATCATTCGAGTAGGGAATTAGCATTCTGTGCAAGTTATACACTATAATTTTTCTACGGCTATAATAGATAACAGCGGCATTTTCGATTTCTTCGTCTTGAAGCCATCTGATTTCATGTCAAGTAATGCTCATCTATTAGACAGAGCTGTCATTGCTTGAAATTTGACATTGCTTGGACGATGAGATTTTTCTGAAATAATAACACAATGAAGTCATTGTGATATCAGATACGGAAATAAAATTGATGACAAATAAATTACCCCATTGATGTATCGAACACAGTAAAACAAGAGCAATTTTGTGTTATAGCCGTAGAAAAAAAAAATTAAGAGACACTACCAAACAGGGAGTCGAAGGCCGATTGTAATTTTGTTGAAAAATCACCTGGCACTTGGTTTTAACTGCCTGCCTATGCAACTGCCTTGGCAATCTTCTGGTGGAACGACCGTCTATTCTTATTGTGACATCACCTCGCTGTGACCCATTGGTTTTGGTAAACTGAAGGGCCATAACTCGATTTTTCTAATTGGCACTTCATAATTCATTGTTTTTTCGTATTGATTGTGTCACTTCACATTTCACACTACACCGTTTCAAAACAGTGGGTAAACAATAAATTCTGACAAAATTTAAAATCGAAGTGATTAAAATCAAGATATGATGGATTAATTTTGTTTTAATGAAGTCATGATTTTGAAAACTATCAGACATAACTAATGTTAACATTGATAAAGATCGATGCCGAATCAAAATTCTCATTCCTGCAGTAATAGCGAAAAATGTCTATTCCATTTGAAAAGAACATATTTATGGGGTACTCGAACTTTTCCAAAAAATGTTCAACATTTGTTCTTTATTTTTTGATGAGCAGTTTAAAAAAATGTCGTTCTTAACGTACAGTAGTAATTAGAATGGTTTTTAGGTCAATATTATTGTATTGACTATCCTTTCAGTCCAAATGATAGGAAGATTCTGGATGATCCCAGTGCAGTTCTGTAAGCACAAACATCCCTGGGATGTTACATTCATGTCTCGAGGGGTGACAATGCGAATTACAAAAAAACATCATTGGTATTGCCAGGAAACTAACTGTTTCACAAAACATTCGCAACATTCGTCACTTCTCTGGAACACCGTAGAAAAGTTGGTGATCTGGCTCTATTTTATAGATCTTTTCATGGACGATGCTCTTCTGAAATATCAACAATTATTCCTCCCTTGGCAGTCCCCACGAGATGAGGCAGTCGAGTTGAGGCTTCGCACCCCTTCGTGGTCACTTTGGAGACCTGTTCTCCTCTTTCCAAAGACTCGTTCATCCAACGAACAGCGAGGCTTTGGAACACATTGCTAAGGGAAGTGTTTCCCGAGGCATATAACCTCCAGAAATTCAAGAAGAACTCCAAATCCCTCCTTATCTACCTTGGTTCTCACGATGTTCTCTGATCATTACAGGATATCGCTTTTCGTGGGAACCAGAACATAAAAAAAAAACATTTGATTGGATATTAGACTGGTTTTGTCAAATGCTGACCACGAGGAGGTTAGGTGTAAGAGTAGCCTTCGGCTAAATCTCGCCTCCTTCTGGACAAATAAGACTAAAATATATATTTATTATATTTTATTCGTTATACATACAATGGAGACCATTATTATTATTATTATTAAAATGTAGGTGTATTTATGAGGCTCCCTAACAACCATGAGACTCACTGGAACCTCACATTCTTGTCTTTTTATGAAACAAACGGAATCGATCAATTCTGCTGTTAGGAGTCGCTCAATGCGTACTGTGAGTTTCATTTGGCATCATGATGTGAATCATAATAAGACCAAAAGGGTCCGGAATAGCAGTCATTGTGATTTCAGTGGTACTCTCATTACGAGTAACCGATGTGATGTGTTGCATGAATGTGATGCCTTCTAATATCTCTAGGATCAATCTGTGTTAACT